CCACACCCATCAGGTTTCCCTACATTAGGGTCTAAGATGACAGCTGTAGGATAGTCAGTGGCAATGACGTAAGGCGCCATGAACCAGGGCCTGGGTCAGTGCCAGTGTCTCCCTGGCTACTTCTATCATGTTCTTATACCTTAGACAAGTTTCCTTTTAGTTTCCTCATCACCATGGAGTCTTTTTGTCTCAGTTAAGTAGGGATCACCTGAATCCACGGGACACACATCGTCGACAGAGCCACGGGGATTTTTCAAAGACAACATGCAGTAAGTAGCTACAGTCAACACAGTGGAAAGAAACTGGACAGTCTCCTCTCAAGAGGGAGGAGCTTTTATACCTGCCTTAAGAGAGAAAATACTTCTGAGATGGAAGCAAAGATAATTGTGAAAGTCATAGAAAGTTTATAAATCTGGTACAGGAAGTGGCTTTAGACTGAACCAGGCCAGGAGAACCATGTCTAAGGAAGTAAGCCCTGCTTTCTAGAGCAGCTACTGGAGACAAGCTTACTGGAGGGCGAGGTCACGTGAGGTCGCAGGCTCACGTTTGCACACTTGGTTCCCAGCCACCACTGCTACTTTAGGAAGTTGTGGAATCCCTAGAACAGTCAGCTACCACTTGCTCCCAGACCCGCAGACTAAGCTACCCCACCAAGCCTTCCTCTGAAAGCGTAAGCCGAGATAACCCTTTCTTCCCTTAAGCTGTTTCTGTCAGGATTTTTGGTCTCAAGTCATGAAAAGTAACTCGAGGAACTCTTAAGTCATCAGGAGTGGTTCCTTGAAAAAATAGGCATCAGGGGGGATGATGTATTCCTTAGAACCCCACGTCATTGCTACTGGGGAGAGAGCGAGCCAGTAAAATACTGGCCATGCAAGCAGGAGGACCTGTGTCCGATCCCCAGAAACTGGGAGGTAGTGGGGTTCAGGTGCTGTGGTACATTCTTGTAATCCTAGTGCCAGAGAGGCAGAGACGGGTAAACTCTTAGGGGTTGCTTGCCAGTCCACCTGGCCTAGCCTACTGGTCCAAAACAAGCCAGTGAGAGTACAAGGGAGACTGAGGCAGGAGGATTGCTATGGGTTTGAATCTATCCTGGGCGACAGAGTGAGACCTGCTTTAAAACTCTGAAAGAAGGAAGAAGAGGTAAAGGTACGGTTACTGAGATATGCTGGTCTTTCCTGCGTTAGATGGAAAACGCTGCTGGGGGATGCACTATCAGACCTCGCTGATCTGTGCTTTGTAACTGGCGAGACCTGGCAACATTTGACCGAAGCCCTAAGTTTGCCAGGGATTCTACCACAGATGTTGTCATTAGCTACCAGCCAGAAGAGAAACATAACCTCACCAGTTTGGTGGCTGGGATGCTATAGCTAGGAAGGCCATGGTCAGAGATCAAGGACCCTGAACCAGGCAAGTGCTGGGGTTTCCTGGAGGCATAGGATGTGAGGACATCCTCGGCTGGCGAGCCGAAGCAGCATGTCCGCTCTCCGACTCACATTAGTGCCTGTCATCTCTCCATCTTGGCTTGGTGCTCTTTGAAAGTCTTTGAAAATCCCTTAGGAATATTTGTTTTGCTCTGGTGCAGACCTCACCAGTCCATGAGCAGATGAAGTGACCCTCTTACCAGCTGAACTGCTGCTACCCCCTGGATTCTGATCCCCAATACTCTCCCCACCTTATTACCCTCCCCGAGCCAGCCCTTCCTCAAACTCCAGCAGACACCAGAGGTCCAGATACAGTCCGCACCGTCAGAAGAACAGCACCCCTCCCCCGGGCTCCATATTCTGGTCTACATCTTTGGGCAAATACTTCAGCTTTATCAGAGGCCAGGCTGGATCTAGGGACCCAAGGCCCCCAAACCACAATGGAGACACCCTACTGGACCTTAAGACTCGCCAGTCACCAGAACCCTTGGCCAGAAGAATAGAGAGGAAAGAGAAAACAAAGGAACAAAATACCCATCCAACAAAGACATATACAGCAAGCAACACCTAGACCAATAATCACCCCAAATCCAGATGCCGAAACGCCAGTGTAAGAACACAATAGCGGAACAGGAAATACAGCTCAACCAGAACCCAGCGGTCATACGGCATCAAGACCTGAACATTCCAACACAGCTGAGGCACAAGAAAATGACTGTAAAAATAACTTTATAAAAATGATAGAGGCCCTTAAAGCGTAAATGAAAAATTCCCTTAAAGAATTTAAGGAAAAGACAAACAAAACAATAGCAAGAAGTATATGTTTCATCTCTTTATTCTTGCTTAACTCTTGGAGTAGGCTACATCTAACTGTGAAGCTGAGAGTGGTTGCCTCAGTTCATAGACAGAAAGCTTGGTAGGAAATACCCCAGAGACAAACATCACCACCCTAAAACTGAAGAGAAATCATCCCAAAGCTGAAGGGTGGGTATGGCGGTTGGTTTGAATAAGAATGGCCTCCACAGACTCCTAGATTTGAATGCTTAGTCACCAGGGAGCTTGGCACTATTAGGAGGTGCGGCCTTGCTGGAGGATGTGTATCCCTGGAGGTAGGCTTTGATGCTTCGGAAGCTCAGACTGGGCCCAGTGGCTCACTCTTGCTTCCTGCTGTCTGCCCATCCAGATGTAGAACTCTTAGCTACTTCTCCAGCACCACGTCTGCCTGCATCCCACCATGCTTCCTACAACAACAGTAGACTAAACCTCTGAACCTGTAAGCAAGCCCCAGTTAAATGTTTTCCTTTATAAAAGCTGCTGTGGTCATGGTGTTTCTTCATGCCAATAATTATTCTAAGACAGTGGGATCCACCAAGCAGAAACAGGACCTGATGCCCTGTTTTCTCTCAGAGGTGGAAAATAGCTGTTGAAGAAGCTGCGGACCAGAACTCTTCCTCCATGAACTGTCACATCTGGAAATACCCAGACAAAGAGCCCGGAGACTGAATGCCAGTGAGAGATGGATCAGGACAGGCAACATTACCAGAGAGCTGAATTTGAGATGGCAACCTGAAGACTGGTGATGTGGGATTCCCCTCTGCATGCTGTGAATATCACTGGTGAACAAAGAAACTGCCTTGGCCTGTTGATAGGGCAGAACTTAGGTAGATGGGGAAAACTAAACAGAATGCTGGAAGAAAGGAGGCAGAGTAAGAGAGAAGCCATGTAGCCCCACCAGAGACAGATGCCAGAACTGTCACAAGTCAGTAAGTCACAGCCTCGTGGAGATACACAGATTAATAGAAATGGGTTAAATTAATACGTAAGAGTTAGCCAATAAAAAGCTCGAGTTAATGGGCCAAGCAGTGATTTAATTAATACAGCTTCTGTGTGATTATTTCAGGGCTGAGCAGCTGGGAATGAAACAAGTGGCCTGGGGCTGGAGAGATGGCTCAGAGGTTAAGAGCATTGCCTGCTCTACCAAAGGTCCTGAGTTCAATTCCCAGCAACCACATGGTGGCTCACAACCATCTGTAATGGGGTCTGGTGCCCTCTTCTGGCCTGCAGGCATACACACAGACAGAATATTGTATACATAATAAATAAACAAACAAACAAACAAGTAAGTAAGTAAGTAAATAAATATTTTTTAAAAAAAGAAACAAGTGGCCTCCCTACAACAGACTGGACGGCATTTTGAAAATTTACAATACTAAGAACATTACAAAGTTCTTATACCGCTTAAGAGGCAAACTAACATCAGAGATTTAGGAAGCAGTATTCAAGACCATGAACAGAAACAGGTGTCAAAGTAATGAAAGCAATTTTGACAGAGTATTTATTATAAAAATGCCAGTCAGATGGGCAGATACCTTTTTTGAATGTTAAAATTAAAAGTCTACATGAGAAAAGAGGGGCAGGCTGTGTGTTTCAGAAGAACCATGACTCGTGCCAAGCTGATCCTCAGCACCAAGAGATAAAATACACAAGTAAAAATTCAAAACTGAAAAGAAGATCTCACAAAACAAAAGAAAAACCATACAGGCAGAAAACAAGTAATGAAGTATGTTAATTAAAACATGTACACTAAACAGATAGGACAAAGATTGCTGCTTGACATAAAACTAAGGCCAAAACCCTGATATCTCTGAGAAGTACACATAAGCCCGACATAAGTCAGTTATGCACCATGTTCAGTCTAAGATGTATCCTCAGTCAAGTTGGTGTCACCTGTCTGTCATCCTAGCCCTTAGGAGGTTGAGGCAGGGGGATCTAGAGCTCAAGGTCAATTAATACAGTGAGACCCATCTGAAAAAAATTACCATGTTTTATAATACATTACAAAAATATATACACCAAAATAGTAAAGATTACGACCACGGATTTATCATTAAAATGATATAACATTATAAGATATTTATAGCACAGATGACTATGAAAACAGTTGAACGTGACATCTTAATGTTTAAAACACTATGGAGAGTATGGTCTCAAGCCATGAAAATTGGCCAATGTGATGGTATCTTAAAGCTTGAGCAGTACGACACAGCAGTCTTCCCGGTGCACAGGAACCTCCACAGCACCGCCTCCTAACTCAGCACCTCTAGGACTTCTGAGGTTGTGTGAGGCACCATCAGCACCATGGCAGATATTGTTCCTGTCCGTTTGTCATTCTGTGACTCCCACGTCTATGGCTCTGCTCTGCGATGCTTGTGTTAAAGGTCACCCAGCAGGTATGTATATTACAGACAATGGGCAGCTAATAAAATACTTGTCGAATAAACAAATACATGTCAGTGAGACTCATGGCCACAACCCTGCCCTGACGGTCACACAGGGTGAAAAGAATTCCAAAGAGGTGAAGAGTGCGTCCCTTCCTATCCTCACACTGGCTAGTTCATGGTCATCATTTTCCTCGAAATGCATAGCTGGCCTGTGATTTAATATTATTGGACAGGGCCCAATATGCATGAACTCATTGCAGTGAGACCAGTTATTTTGTACAAATGATTTAGGGCAGTAAAAATGTCCAACCAAACTGCTAAGTACCAAATGAAGTTTCCGTAAGCGATATCCACTGACCTTGTAAGGAGGTGAGGTGAAAACGAAGCGGGGTTGTCCTGCTCCGAGAAGAGGGGCATAGTTCCTCCCATTATCCACAGGCGGAAATACAAAATGACCATCACCTTGGAGGAAGGAGAAGACCAGATGAAATATCCACCCACGTCTCTTCCGTCTTTGTACAAGCGTTCTGATCCTCTATCGAGAAGTGAAGTCAGTTGTTCCCTCCTCTTACAGCTGTTAGGTAAGCCTGCCTGGGTAACCCTGGCCCCAAATCACGGCACGGGAACCATTCAACTGGGCCTGGACAAGCAGCAGGGAGCTGTATCTATGTCTCTGGATACCGGGCCTGGATACTGTGTCCAGCAGTAAACAACAGATATATCCAGGTCACTTGGAAAACACTTTGAAAGGAACTTTAAAACCCTGTGTTGTTCATGCTATGCCATCAGGTTCCCATGTATACTTCCACACACACCTTTGCTCGAAAGTAACTACAAACATTCCTTGAGAGACGTGTTGATAGTGAGTTTATTAAGCAATCTGGAGCCTCTGAGTTGGGACTAAGTGAAAGCACTTTTCCTAGCTGTATTCCAAGTATACATTATATACTTACATAACTGATGACCAAAATGGCCCGCTTTAAAAACGGTCTCAGTGTAAGCAGGAAATTGCCGTTGCTGCTTCCTGTCAGACACCTGAAACAGGAAAGGAGAGGTGAACGTCTAAGAGCGACCGTCTACAGCCCAGTGTTCCTCTCTGTGAAGACACCAAGAGCCTGGCACCCGCGCACTGCGTCTCAAGGGTGGATCAAAGATCTCTCATACACACCGAAGAATTTTCTCACATGCTCACTGTCCTCTGTCCCAGGAAACAAATTATAGTGCAGGAATGCCGGCTCCAGGGGGGCCAGAGATTAAGGGGGACCCTGCCTCTGCCATGCCCCCCCCACGCGGGTTCAAAGCAGGAGCTTTGGCTTTGTGTACAGGACTGGCTGGAGCTAAGGTTAACAAGCCCCCTGTGAGAACACAAAGGGTCCACATTATCCTCCATGCAGGCTTGCGCGCTTTAGTCAAAGCGGATCCCTCTGGCATCTCCCTCCTCCTTATTTTCCCTAGCCCCTTTCATGTAGTTTTCACTCCCTTTAATCTGTTTCTTCCCTCAAAGGATTTCTCCCTTAAAATTTGCATTTGAATGAGGGCTCTTCACTGGGGAGAACCTTTGGTCCAGCCAGGGCCTCTTCAGTTAAACCCTGAGCTAGTATCCTGCAGAGACTGGTCCACCTGGAGTCTGCTGGCTGAAGATGTGTGGCCCCTGCCTGTGGTCTAAGTACCAAGTGTTTCTGAGCTGCAGGGAAGTGACAGCTTTACTCAAAAGCAGGTTTCTTCCTCATACTCCCTTTCTCCTCTTTCTGGCTCATAAGAATCTCTGGAAGTGATCCCTGCTCAGAACTGGCTATCCAAAAGCTTGTTGGTTAGAGAAAATGAGCTCAGAACTGGCTATTCAAGCGCTTGATAGAGAAAATGAGCAGGGTAAAGCCACCAAAGAAAGTTTACTGCTAACAAGTTCCCGATAGGCCCATCTTCTAGAGCTGAGACCACAGCAGAGTTTAGCAATGAAGCCAGGCCAGGGACAGCCTGGAGAGTCTGGAATGGTACAGTGTGTGTGTGTGTGTGTGTGTGTGTGTGTGTGTGTGTGTGTGTATGCATGCATGTGTGTACGCCTGTGTTTGTATCTGGACGTTTTACTGAGGCAGTCCTTAGCTTTTGTGTTTGGGCATCTGGGCCTATGATTCTCACAGCAGTTGTTCAAACACACATCCTCTCTGGGCGCAGCCTCTTGTGGTTGTCATTTTTAGGTAAATTAAGCCAAGACCAGCCTTTGGCACTTCTGTTTCTCCAAGGATGCAGGATCTCTCTCAGCAGCCATCGAGGTAAAGGAAGCAGACAGGGGCCAGGAAAGGGTGCTAAGGGGGGCAAGGGCAGGAATGTGTCTGAACTTTCCAGGTAGCTGCTCTTGGAGACTTCATTTCTCAAGCTCCTCTCTGAGGCTTGCTTAGCACTGGAAAAATTACAATTGGCTTTCCTCTCTACAGAACAAGCCACACAGTTTGGGGTTTTTCTTGAGGTTACACTTAGACGGAGCTGTCATGTATCATTTCTGACGGTTTGCTAGGATGGCTATTTCAGTAACTGTGTTTATAACAAGTCTTCTAGTTCAGAGATTCTTGGTGAGATTCTATTTCCACAAGAAGTTGGGCAAAGGGTACCAGATAATTTACTCTCAAAATGTAACATCCTAAGGTCACTCAAGCCTGAATTGGTACAGTGATTCTTGGTGGAAAAAAAAAGTTGTCAAGATTTCTATTTTAGGCTGTGGGTCCACAGGAAACGACAAAGTGAGACACACGGTACAGTGCCATGTCTGGGGACGCTCTAGATATGTGGGGAGTGTGCCCTGGCTCTGCTCCCTCCATCTCCTCCTCCACTCCACCCCAGAGCTGGAGAGAGGGATTTTCCTCCTTGATTCATTTCTTACAGCCAATGCAACAGACCTGAACAATGACCAAGAATAATAGCATTCGTAAAAATAACAACTAACAATACACCTCAGACACGCATTTTGACTTAAATATGGCAGCTTATCTACCATTTAGAATAATTCCACAAGACCAAAACATTGGAGGTGCTGATTTTAAATCTGATTTCTCAGCTATTAATTTTTCTTTTTTTCCTCTCTCTTGGAGTTTTATTGTTTTTCAATCCAGTTGCAGTCAAATTGTGTCCGCTCAGGAACTTCCCTATCTTTAAGGCAATTTTTCTGTCTGCTTTCAGCCATTATTCACTGCCGCAGGGTTCACTAATACACAGGTGGCTCATTTCACAGGTTAACAAATTCTTAAAATTTTGTTTTTTAAGACAGGGTTTTGATATGTTCAGCTATTAATTTCAATCATAAGAAAAACATGCTACTAGTAACACTTTATATTTACTCTTTTGTGTTTTTTTTTTTTATTTTTGAGACAGGGTGTCACTAAATTGTCTGTTGTGCTTGTACTCAGTAGGTAGCCCAGGTTGGCTTCAAACCCATGGCATTTTTACCCCAGACTCCATTACCCCAAGTGCATAGATGTAGGCCACCAAGCCTGGCTATGGACACTAAAATTTAACAAGTTCTCCATGGAATTTGCACATTCCTTACAAAGCTCCAGAAAGTTCCAACTGTTATTCCTTGGAAACTACAGCTCCCAGACTCCTCCTGGAGTACGAACACCTTGGCGCCCGCGCGCCCAGGTGAAGGCCATTCCTCCCAGATAACCTTGCGCCCCCCGTTAAAAGCGAAGGTCCACGAGGCTTCGCTCTCTTGGCCCCTCTCTTGGCCCCTCTCTTGGCTCCCCTCTTGGCTCCCCTCTTGGCCCTTTCCCCCCTACCCTTGTGTGTCTGCACGTCCCACCCCTTACTGTGTTCCCCTCTCCCCATTAAAGCGCACCCACGTGGGAGCCGCGTGTCCGTCTCTTCCTTTTGCGTCTATCCTGTGTTTGTCCACACACCCACGCCGCCGCCGTTTTTAAAGGAATAATACCAACGATAACAAATCCCAAGCGCCTGTGAAGGCACTAGAATAAGATCCACGGATTGAAGCTTCTATCCTTTTGTGTTCGTGACTTACATCAAGACCTCAGGCTCCTCAGTGCCAACCCTGTTCTTGGCCATCCATTTCTCCTCACTGAGAATCCCTACGCTCTTTCTTACTACAGAATACCTTCACGGTAGTCCCGAACACATCCTAACAGGCCAGTTCCCCCCTGAAGGCAGTCTTCCTTCCAGGCTTCACAAGTGCTATCTGAACAGATTTTCTTTTATACACATCAAAAAGACCAATACAGCCCAGCCAACTAAACAGAATCTGAAGGGTCCTTCCTTCTCCACCTCTCAACCTCTTCTCCTGTGCTTTTCTTGTTCTCGGGCAGCAGACTGGCACATACAGTGTGTGATTTGGGATGTGGGCAGCAGGGTGGAGGATGGCACCGCCTGGGTAGCATTGTTTCCTTTTCCACAGATCCTGACGGCTGCGAAGGACATTAGACTGGACTGTCCGGCTCTTCTCGGGATCTGTACCCCACATAATTCCTGCCTAAGTGTCAGCTACAGACGGCGAAACCAGCCGCGAACTGTCACTGCTTGGCAGCACACCAACCGCACACAGCCACCAGAAATCCCCTAGGACACCAACCACACCAACTTAATTTCCTTTTTTGTATTTAAAACAATAAAGGATATTGGTAACCATATGCTCTGAGGGGAGAAAGAAGTTAAATTCAGATCTTTTGGAGTAAAAATCCCAAAATACTTCTCTTTGAAAGACATGAGAATGTTCTTACTTTGCTAAAATATAGCAAAGATACAGCTCACAGTAGAAATGGTTATAAGCTAACTGCATACCAATGGAAGTTAGGTCCTTCCTTAGTGCCCGGCCTTGGACCCCAGAGGTTCCTCCTTTATGCTACACAAAGGCTCTCCCCAGAGTGTCAGGTTTGGGTGCTGCCCTTGCCAGTCCCACGATTCTGACGGAAGATGGAGCTGTTCTGAGAATCCGGGGGTGCGTTTCTCAGTTCTGCCCCTTCTCACACAGAATGGTGGAAATGAGCCTGCAGACCCCAGGGGAGCACGGCTTTCTGTGCTCTTAACCGTTCTGAATAAGAAGCCTGGAACTAGAAGGGAACAGAACACTTGGGTAGTTTTACAGTTTTAGAGGGCTCAGGCTGTACAAATATGAAGACCCGAACTCAATTTCTAACAATGTAATCAACAGCTGTGCTTGTATGTAATCCCAGCGCTGGGGTGTCAGAGACGGAAGGTTCTGGGGCTTGTTAGCCAGGGATTCTATCCAAACAGACTCCAGGTTCAGTGAGAGACCCTGACTCAAACAATAAGGTAGAGGACAGCTGAAGAAGACACATTATATCTACATCTGTCCACACACACATACACACACACACACACATGTGCACATACACATATGCACATACACACATGCACACACACACGCACACACGTATGCGCCAAGAAATGTGAACTGATTTGCAGAAAGTCATGCTCCTTCATGTCAAAGGTCAATGAAATTGGACTCCATTAATTTAATCAGAGGATCCATTTTATACCCCCTCCACGGTTAATTTCGGCAGCATGCCTGGTTTTTAATTCTTTCTCCAAGGAGTGGTAAGATTCCGTTTTGGTGCCGACAGTCTTGTCTTTCAGCCACAGTCCCACACGCGCACTTGACAGGTGTCAGTCACGGCACTGAGAGCTCGCATCTCCTCCCCATATTAGCCCTGCTGTGACAGATACAAGGGCTGTTCTTGCCAGGAAAGCGTGGGCCTTTCACTTGGGCCTGCAGACACCCAACGCGCAGCTTAAACAGGTCAAAGTCTGACTTCTCTGCCCTCTTCCCCATCTGTAACTGTGCTTCCTTAAGTGTTAGGAACTCAGCTCTGAACATAGACACATTAATCCCGTAAGGAGCGTCTTAGAGACACAAACGACAGGGCTCACCTCAAAGTGAGTAAGAGATGGTTACTGAGAGACAACTATGAGTGGCCCTGGCCGGGAAACACATGTCTTTACTCCAAATACTGTGTTCTGACATGGTAACAGTTTAATGAAGGTGTTGTCATTGTCCTTTGGTTTTTCGAGATTAG